ACACGCTAGCAGTGGGCCACCAGTTTCTGGGCTTTGCAAAAATTCAACAACACACTCCAGTCTGGGTTTCACACACCCCCATGCCCATTTTTAATCTCTTTATGTTTTTTTTATTTAGTTTATTTATTTTTGTTTATTCCTTTTTTTAAAATCATAAAAAAAATCAGAAAATTATAAAAGTTAGGATTTAGAGTTTTTTTTATAAAATTAATTTTTGCAAATTAATTAATTTAATTAAATTTTAACCCTTTTCCTTAATTTAAAATTATTTAGAGAATTAGGTTAAAATATAAATATATTTTCATAAAATACAAAAAATATTTTTAATGAGAAATTAGATTTTTTAGGGTTTAGAACTTTTTCCCGTTCTTAATTTTGCGTGCTATTATTTTTTCCATACGGTTATTTTTTACCACTTATGTAATTGCGTCCGGTTTGTAATAGTAAATTAGGGTTTTTATTTTTCGCATTTTACTTTTCAGTCCATTACTTATGTATCTACACCAAAGCCCTGTAATAGCGTAGGAACTTTTATTTCTCGCTCTCTATATTCTTATATGCTTGTATATAATTGTTAGTAACTTAGGCATGTATGACAAGATTAATCAATTAACCATTACATCACTAATCTCAAGACAAATATCTGGAAAAAGGCACTATTGCACACTTGCACCCTTAGGGTATATCTCACTTGGTTGCCTCGGAAAACAATGGTCATGTCCCTCAAGCGTAGGGATATCTTAGCAAAGACCCTCAATTTAAAAGTCATCATAAAGATCATAGTCCCTAACATCCCTCGAGTTGCCTATGAGAAATGATCTTGTCCCTCGATGTTACCTATATGATGACGGTCCCTTCGAAATGCTAAGATATCCTTACATTGTTGCCTTCAATGACCATAGCGTCCCTTTCGATAGTCCCTCAACATCCAACGATAGGGATACCTACTCACTAATAGTATGATAGCACTATCTAAAGGAAAGGAGGAAAAGAACGTCCTTTTTCGACTATGTAGATAACTCTTACGTACTTGCTCAAACCTGAAATTTTCACACTTACACACTTTCAAAAATCTTTTCAAAAACGCTTTATCACACTCTTGAGGACTGATACAAGAGTTACCATAAAGCAAACAAAAACTTCCAAAACACATAAACACAAACTATTTTAAAAAATAAGCAAGTACCTAAGAGCCCGTAGAAAACTACGGATGGAAAGAGTGCTAACACCTTCCCTTTCCATAATCTACCCCTTTACTCAGAAACTCTTGAAAAAGGTCTTTTTCTGTTCTTTTCACCCTTTCCTTTGTTGGATAAAAGAAAAGTCGGTGGCGACTGTTGCTTACCGTGATATTTGCGAATACAAAACACAAACCAGTATTAACACTCGGTTCTGCCACCGTATCACACATGCTCTCATAGACTAAATAAGAATATCAAGTTTGAGTAAACAACCTCCATCTTGTTTAAGAGAAATGCCACCAGACATATTGAGAAAAATAAATTCTCAATACGAAGATGTCAAGACATTACGTCTGACATTTCTTCAAGTTCTTTCAGCTTCAGATTAAGGACTCCCCCTTATTAACTTCTAAGAACTCCTCAGGGAATTATATACTCTCCCCTCTAATAGATATACATCATGTGGTTGGTACACACAAATTGCTCCCCTCAACCAGGATTTGTTCTATGGCCACAAACAGGATTCCATAAATCTGGCTCCTTTAATATGAAGGATCTTCCAAATGTCAGAGAGAATGTCCTTGATATTTGAGCTTGACTTGCAATATAAAGGACCTGGTTGAGATACCTTTAATAAGCCTCCATAGAAAAATAAAGTACAACCTCCACACTCCAACTCGATTGGATCAGAAATAAACTAATCTAATGAGTAACAATATGTTGATCATCTCTTAACCAACTCAAATACCACCCCATATGCCCCCTCTTCCAGACCAAGAGTAGGTTCCAAACATATGCCATCAATACACATTTGTTTAGCACCCAAAGCATATACTAAGCCAATCCTTTGTCCAACAGGATTCTGCTCAAATTGCTGATGAGATGTTCCAACATTTGGTAGAACATCTTTCCTATATCCAATCAACACATTGTTGAGATTGGTTCTGAAGTCCTTACTTCTCCCAGAAAATCAGAATGTACCTTTATCACCTTCAAGATCTTTAATAGGCTTCAATCTTCCATACCATCATCAACAAACAACAGGGTCAGTACCATTTTCCTAATATATCCATAAAATAGGAAGATCCCTCTAGAAGCAACCACAAACAAGAGCTCTTGCCACCTTCAGAACTCTTTTCATCAACCATATTTGAAAGTGCCTTTATGCGTGAACTTGAGATAACCCTCAAGTATCTTTGACAACTTTAGCAAGCTGGTTGAAACTATCATCCAAGTATCACCACACCATGGGATACACCTCTAAAGAAGAATAATTGGCTATAACCTCAATCACCAGAAACTCACGACACCACCATGAGTTTTCCATCAGATACATATGCAGCGGAACACAAAGGAGAAAACTCTTCAACAACCTTCAGGAACAACACAAAACCCTTGCATACAACCACCATAATCCAGGTCCAAATAAGATAACCTAGGTTTGAAAATAAATCAAACCCAACACAACAAATCACCACCAAAGCTATAGGCCTGATAACAACAGACAAGTCCAATACCCACCCTGTCAAAAATAGTTCATCCTCCAATTCAAGGGACCATTCAAACAACAATATGAACTATCCAAGTTTAAACAGTTTTACAATAGATACCTCATTCCTTTCCCATGACTAGAAAATATCATCCCAAGATCTCACCAGAAACAGAACATGATGCCTGTTCTGATACCAATTGAAATTCTGGTATGTCAGACTTCAGATGTCCTATAGGATGTCGAGACATATGATCTGACTAAAACCATATGGAAAGGTATAAACATATAAAAATAATACTGAAAAGCAAAATAACACACACAAATTGTTAACCTAGTTAAGAGCAACTCTCCACTCTGGAGGTATACCAAGTCAGAGATAAAGTCCACTATAATAATATTAATTCAAAGCTAAATTAGTCTCAAGTTTACAACTTCTCACTTAATCACTACCCGTGCTAACTTTCTATCTAAGACTCACCTAGATATGAGACCCTCCTTAACTCCCTCATCAATCAAAAATAGCAATTGGATTAAAACAGAAAGACACACTTCCATGACACAAAACCAGAAGACACGTTTCCATGACAATATTAGAAGACTCACTTCTAAAACAATACCTAGACAATACTCTTGACTAAGAACACAACTTTAAGTTATTTAAAAGCTTCCTTCAAGAACAATACTCACTCTTGCTTCACAGCTTCGAGGAGAACAAAACCTTACAACTCAAGAAACATAATCCAACTCACATGTCGAGTGGAACACATAACCAAATCTCATAAAGAGTGGTACAGACTTAGCCCTAATAACTACATCTTTTCATTCATGATGGGTACCTTTTTCTAGATTACAATGCTTCTATTTATAACCTTTTTCCCAAGTGGATTTGGGCTTCAAATCACAGCATATAAGTTGTTACAAATCTGCAGAAGATTCTGCAAAAAAATAGGTCTTCAATAAAATCTTTCCTAAAAAGTATCCCTATTTAGAAATTGCATATTCTTCTTGATTCTGACTTGAATCTTCCATACCTATAAAACATCCCACATAGGATAACACAATATCCTCAAAATATTCTGCCTTTGTTAAAATATAACAGAATCTAACTGTTCAACTCAACTCAGGCGCGATGTCGTATGACTTTGCATAGTACATCTTATCCGTCATATTTCTCCAGATGATGAGAACTTCTCATCTCAACATGTCTCAATATAAAATAGGACTACTTGCTCAACGTGTTCTTCTTAGCAAGTTAGTACATCCTATTTAATATATTGCTGTTATATTTGTTTTTCTAAAATTAATGTTAATCCTAAAAATAGAGAACTAACAAGTTGTTATCCCTACAACAACCCCAAACTTACAATGAACATGGATCATATAACTCATGTAACTACTCTGAGCAGGGTAGCAATTCCATGAACTTAAAGTATTGATGATGTTGTTTCCAAATTATTTTCAGATTTACTTTACTGAACAACGCATAAATGACATCCAATACTTTGTCAATTTCTTGTCTTTCATCTGTCTTGTTGTGAAAATAGTTTTTAGGGATACTCTTTTGTTGAAGATTTTCTTGTTGGATATCCACATCTTCAAAAAAATTTAAATTTGTAGTTTCATCCAGAACTAGATCATCTTCAAGTTGTCTTATTTCTCCTTCCCCATATTTCTTGTTTACCTCAAATTCTTCTATTCTTACGACATCTTTTTCATCTGATGTTATGCATTTTTCTTCTGGTTTCACATATTTTTCTTCCAACTTTTTCAAAGTTGTCACCATCCACTCATTGATGGATAAAAAATAGCATTGTGAAATCATTCTTCTTCTTTTCCTTATGTGTTGCTTGATGTGCATCCACTGCACCTTCAATAAGAGGATTTACATCGTTCTTAATCACTTCAAGAATATCTTTGTAGCCAAACAACACATTTATTTGTTTGCACCTATTTTCGTAATTTTTTTGCATCAAAGATGAGTAAGTTCGTAGAAATTTTTTTATTAAAGACAAAATTTATATTACACACTAGGTGTTTGGTAAATCAAACGAGAATCTTGATGTCAAATATTAGAACTTGAAATCACAAAGTTAACAAATATTAGAACTTAGATTTCCCCGCACCTTAAGTTGATTTGATGAAATTCTCATATGTTGCATTATATGAGCCTAAATATAGGCACTTTAGACATTATTTTTCAAGTTTTTGATGCTTCTATGCAAGGGATGTAATTGTATATACAATAAAACATGTTACTATCAAGTTCACAAAGTTATTCTCAATTGGTCAACTTTTGACCAAGAGACGGGCTCGTTGCATTTTCCACTATGTCCCATCCCCACCACCGTACAACAACCACATTCGCGCGCGATTCCTCTGTTTTTGATTCATTCCGTTACCACAGCACCACCACCGTAATGACGCACAAACAACGCTTCAAGCGAGTCGCAAAACCCATTTTACACCTTCCACGAATCAAACCCGCACGTAAAACGCGACTTTCCAAATCACTCAAACTCACCGCTCCTGAATCCAACCCATCATCAGAACCGCACATTTCATTCGAAAAAACAAAACCTTTACCCCGCGAGTTCTTCCAAATCGATGCACTAGACCTTGCTCCTCGTTTACTCGGAAAATTTCTTCGCAGAGACGACGTCGTTCTTCAGATTACCGAGGTAACGTCCTTTCTGCGTACTGAAAACTCAGTTTAGTTCCTGAATTTGTAGGGTTTTGTAAATTTAGTCTTTTGAACTTTACTAATAGTCCAAAATAGTATTTTTGAAATTGACGTATGATTAAGTTTAATTAATTAATTTTTTTAAAATTATCACCATTGTCGATGTGTCAGTGTTGGTGTCTGTTTCAGAGTGATTCATAGGTGTCCTGTTTGTGTGTGATTTAACAAGGAATTAACATTAGACAGGTAGAAGCATATAGATCAAATGATTCAGCTAGTCATGCTCGGTTTGGTATTACTCCAAGAACTGCTCCTCTTGTAAGATGTTTTTTGTTCATTTTCATAAACTTGTTTATGATTGATGAGTATCTGAATTCTCTAACTTGAATTGGAGATGAATATTGCTATGTATTTGTTCCTGTTTTGCAGTTTGGACCGGGTGGACACGCATATGTCTATCTTTGCTATGGACTCCACGTGATGCTGAATGTTGTTGCTGATAAGGAAGGAGCTGGAGCTGGAGCTGGTGTTTTGATACGTTCTTGTGCCCCCGTTTGTGGTAATGCTTAATCGTACAGCCCCCGGTTGTGATAGTGAAGACATTAAAACCTTGATGTCACAGCTGTGGTTGTCGACCTTATTTTAAAACACTTACTAAGTCTAAGTAAGAGTTGAATCAACTCTTGCAAAATGGCTACAATATATCCACTAGCATTCATTAATATAACCATGCATAAAATTATTTATAGGTTTATTTTGTAAAATTCGACAATATTACAGGATTGGATGTTATTCAACAACGGCGAGGTCAAAAAACGGATAAACCTATACTTCTTACAGGTCCTGGTAAGGTTAGTTTCCCTCCCACTTTTTCATCTGTCTGAGATGCTTTCCAGGAAAATAATACAGTTAATGTTTTGCACTACCATTTAACCTATTGTTTATCCACTCAAAGTCATCTACATTTGAGTGCTTTACTATCCACTAGTTACCGGTCAATTAGGAAGATGTGTTGCTCGAGATGTATAAAGTAGCTGCTATCACAGTATTGCTTTATCGTATTCTCAATTTCAAAAGCTTAGTAAATCACGTATCAGCGTTTGTTGTACTTTTGTGTCGTATTACGTATTCAGGCTTCATAGGTTTTGCTTCTTTCTTGGCAATTTTTTTTTGGGTTTCCGTTTTTTCCACCGGAGAAATCCTATTGGAGGAGTGTCAGCCACTAAATGTAGATACCTCCTTCAACTGGAATTCGAACATTGGTTCTTCAATGTTTGGGAGTTTAGCCCCTTCTGCGGGACCCATCCCCGTTTAGTTATATTGGTAAAATTTTGGGCAGATTGATAATGATCAATAGATGTTTAACTTTTAATATCTTAGATCTGGAACTTGTATAATAACCCCGTGTTTTATGATTTACATGTTGTGATTTGTTATTTAATTTGATGCCCTGATTAAATAACTTTTATGCTTAGGTATTCTGAAAAAATCCACTCGAATAAGTTTTCCCAGATTGTGCTTACCCTCCTTAAAGTATATAGAATCCGCGTTTATAAAGAATCAGAACTTAGAAGCACCTAACTCAAACATTGTACCTGATGGTTTAGATAGTAGAAAGCTTTCCATCATTTGCAACATTTAGACATATTCTAACATATCAGAGTTCACTATGATCACAATGATTACACCGGTTCTTGCTAAAATGGAAATAAACAAAGAAAAAAGACGACAACAAGATAGAAAGGTTTCATCACTTAGTTTACTTCCTCTCTTTGACCAATTCTCATGCTATTTCTTAAATCTTAAGAACATAGAATGTTAATGGAGTTAACTTTTTGTTTTCAAACAAATGTACTTGCATATCTGAATAATGTCTTTCTAAATCTTAGGTTGGTCAGGCTCTAGGTCTTTCAACTGAATGGTCAAATCATCCCCTTTATACCCCTGGTAAGCTCTATTTTATTCTTGTGGAAATTTAAAAATAGATATCAATGGTTTCTAAGAAGGGAAAAGAGTGTCAATGCAGGTGGTTTAGAACTCTTAGATGCTCCGGAGCATGAAAACATATTGGTAGGTCCACGTGTTGGTATCCAGTACGCACTGCCAGAGCATGTCGACGCACTGTGGAGATTTGCCATTGCAGGTTCCGCTTGGATTAGTGCTCCAAGAAACACTCTCAGGCCACCGTTTTAGAGTGGAGTGGTTGTAGCTTTAGGGATACTAGTGGTTTGATAATAACTAACCAGTTAATGTGTATACATACCTAATATATCATGCAAGTTGCTAGAATTACCTCAAATAGAATTACCCCAAAAATGCCCATTGAAGTTACATTTCTAAGGGAAACCCACACGCATTATCTTAGGTTATTTATTTGAGGTGTCATTGGGCGTTAAATGCGGAATTTTGTCACAATGTAGTTTTGAACTGTGATTCATTTTGTTGTGAAAAACTAGTTCTTTCTATGAAACTCAACTATTGTTGTATCAATGTGGCTTTGTGTTGGTTTTTGATGTATTTTTTATAGGTGGGTTATAAATCTTGATGAAAATATTATAGATAAGTGTAATATATATCGGAGAATTTCTTTTTTCATCCTATATTTTTCTAGTGTACCACGTTAAATTCTAAAAATATTCTTAAAAATTAAAAATATATTTTCGATGCGTACCTACATATATATATATTTCATTTGTTTTTAAAATTCGCCCTATTCTACGACAAAATTTATTTTAGAAATTTCCGAAAATACATTTCCGATTATGATATGTTTGTTACTAACATACTTCCTCAATTCCTTTATAATGGTCACTTTTGTTAAAAGAATAGTTAATTTGTCGTTTTTAAATTTCAATGTAGTAATTATTATAATTTTGTCAAAATTATCTCTAATTATCTCTAATTATTTATTATGAAAGAGAAAAAAAAATATTGAAATAATTAAAAATTAAAGATATTATAGGCAAAAGAAAAGTTATAGTCTAAAAAATAACAATCATTATTAATGTTTTTGGTATGTGTAAAATGTAAAATTGTGACGATTAAAAACGAACAGAAAAATTACTTACTAACAAAATCAATATTTTAAAATCAAATACTTTTAACACTTAATAAATCATTAACTAAGCTTTTATAATCCATAGCGGCACATAGAGTTCCATCGGTTGCAATCAAATCATCAACAAGAAGGCACAGAGAGTTCCATCGGTTGCAATCAAATCATCAACAAGAATAGCACGTTCACGAGCTTCAACAGTTGCAACATGCATTTCGATTCATTCGCTTTCATATTCTAGAATATATTTTAGAGATATAATTGGAAGTGTATTTTCAGAAATTTTTAAAATAAATTTTATTATAAAATAGAATGAATTTAAAAAACGAATAAATTATGTATGTGTATATTAGAAATATATTTTTGATTTTTAAAAAATATTTTAAAAAATATATAAGACATTTCTTTACACTTATGATGAAAAAAAATGTCATACATCATAAGAAGTTGCGGGCAATATATATGATTTGTTAATTGCTTAATTTAAATTAATTGTAAATCTATTAAATAGAATAAAACAAAAGGAGTTTTTAATAAACTTTGCCACAGGTCAATTTTTTAGATCTCATACATTTATATTTATGACTTAATATCCTTTTAGTCTCTTACTTATACTATTGGATCCAATTTGATCGTTTTTCTTTTAAAATGATAAACTAGATTCTTGATTTTTTCTAATTGTGTCATTTTCGTCCTTTCTGTTTATTTCCCGCTAAGGGAGTTTATTTTTGCTTGTGTGGCAGCTTAGTTGGCATAGTCATCATCTTCTCAGTTTTCACAGAATCAAGGAAAATCTCCAAACCTAGAAAAAATGCAGAAGACATCATCATCATCATAGATTGGTAAAATCTCCATACAAAATCACGTCAGAAAGTACATATTTTTTTTCCAGAAAACTCACTAATTTACAATAACATGTAAACCTTGAATACATCACTGATCCAATACCATTATCATTCAAAATTGTAACGTCAACTACAAACTTATACCACCACTAAATTCATGAGATTCTAAACTCACCATCATCCTACACAAAACTCAATCTAAACACTAACAAAACTCGAGTTTTATGTCCTTACCTCATTACTAGCAATATCAATTTGTTCAAATCCAACAACCACATTTGAAATCAATAAACAGTCTCAAAGATTCATCACAATGACAAACTGCCAACGGAATAGAACAGAAGAGAAAAAAAGAGGGATCAAAATCGAAAGTGTCGCTGCTCATTCGCCGCCTTCAGAATCACGACAATGTCCCAGCCGCAAATCACCGCCCACGCAGACACACTCCAACGAGAGCTCCGAGCAAGCCATCGCGTCACAAGATCCTGCACCACTGTGCGTTGGCTCCGGCGACAGTGCGTCCACCCCTTCAGTTCTACCACACTACCTAGGGATGTCAATTTGCCTTCAGTTCTACAACACCACTTGTCCCAAAAAATTTACATCTGACAAAAAGGACAAACGTGTCATGTTTTTGAAAGATAAAGAATTAAATTGATCGTTTTAAAAGAAAAATAACCAAAATGAACCCAGAAATATAAGTAAATGACTAAAAAGGATATTAAATCTATATTTTTCTATTTTTAGAAGTATTACTATAATTAACATTACTCCTTATATTATTTAATTCTTTATTTTTTATTATTTCTTTAATTAATGCTAAAGAATGAAAAAAATTTATGGACACGGTTTGTTTTGCAATTCCATATTGGGCTATGCAAAAAATTACATTCATCACTATCAAGAGTCTGGGCCTTGAAAATATTCATTAATAATTACATTCATCACTATCAATTTCATTATTCATTAATATTCAGCAATAATAATTAATTAAATTAGGTCTTGAAAATAAATAAAAGCTCTGTCGGTTCTTCTCCCATTTTAGTTTCTCAAAACATAAGTGAATCATTTAGACACGTGAGAATAAATAAGTCGATTGACTTTCAATTTTGATTCTCAATCCAAACCTTAAAATTCTATCTCGAAACACAAACAACAACCTTCTTTCAAATGGATTTCTTAATGCAAACTTAAATTCTAATTTCTCTTTCTCTTAATCTCTTCAATTTTCTAGATAACTTATTTTAATTTGTAGTGATTTTTGTTGATTTTATACACTTCCAAGTAATATAATAAGGATAATTTGTTCTTCCATTTTACACTTCTTTTAATTTATTAAATAAAATAAAGTAAAAGTTTTTGAGAAACTTTGTCACATTTCAATTTTTTAGATCCCACACTATTTATATTTATTCTATTTTTAAAAATGTTACTATTATTAACATTACTCCTTATATTATTTAACTCTTTATTATTTCTTTAATTAATGCTAAAAAATGAAAAAAAATTAAAATAAAATATCTTTTTTAGTCCTGTAATTAATCTCAAGGTTTATTTTGATATTTTAATTTAAAAAGATTTATATTAGTTTCTTAACTCTTCAAAATATTTCATTATAATTCTTTTATCTAATTAACGATCGATTTTTGAGTTTTTGTATAACTAATTAAACTAAAAAGATTAAAATGAAACGTTTTGAAGAGTTAAAAGACTAATATAAATATTTTTTAAGTTAAAGAATCAAAATAAATTTTAAAATTAACTTGGTGAATTAAAAATAGTATTTTGCTAAAATGTATAATGCCATGTTATTAGAAAAATGAGGTGTTAAAGACATACAAAATTGAAGATGAAGGAAATCAAGAGATTGTGTGTCCAACTTATTCTATTTAAATATTCTGAAGCCAGCAACCAACATATATAGCTGACAGTTTTCAGTTCATTGGAAAATCACTTTAGTTAAAATTTTGATAATTAGTTAAATCTTAGAAATAATAATCAATATTTGAATGGTGTTAGCCTACACATTTTAAGACTTCACCAATCATAGAAATTCCATGCTTATAATAGAAGATTTATATCATTTTCAGATTGTTAATGCTATGGGAGAAGCTGATTTGAAATCATCACATTTAATACTTGATCTTTTTCTTTAAAGACCTCATTAAATACTATCATAGATTTTTATAATTCATGAGAAATCATTACAGTTAATCTATGCTTTTATTTTGATTTCTATAGTTCTTGAGAAATCTCTCCATAAAATAGTAAAGATATGCTACTCATTTTGAGGTTTTTTTTTAGGATATTAACTTGTTGTTGATGGGTTCATAATTTATGCAATAAAAATTATATAATGGCCTTACTTTATTTTTATAATAATATTACTACTTTAGGTTTAATTTTTTCTTTTGACTTTAGCTATTTTGATTTTTTAAAATAAAATAACTACTTCAACCACAATGATCAATTATTCATATTATAATATAATTACTTTTAGAAATATCAAATAATAATTTGGTGAGTGTTGCATAAATCTTTGAACTGTGTATTAAAGCTAATAAATCTTTGAATTGTTGTTGTGATTTTTTTTAATATTAACTATATTGTGGTCCAATGCATTGAGATATTTAAATAATTTCATATTTAAAATAAATATTAAATAATCATAACTGAACAAAGTTAAAAAAAATTAAATACGGAATAATGATAAGCGAAAAAAATTAAAAAAATCATATTAAAAATAATTATTAAATTTTTTAAGATTATTGACATAGTTTTTAGAGATCATCTTTCAATTAATATTGTTTTTATAATAATATTTAATTTAGATTTTTCAGCGGTTCAATAATTTGTCAATTATTAATTTAAAAATAAAATATGAAATCCAAAATAAATTAAATATATTTTTTCTAAAAAAAGTATTTATATTATATGAATGTAAGTAATTAACCTTTAATTAAAATACTATATTCTATTTAAATCTCAATTATATTATAATTATTAATGAGTTATTAATAGTAAATAAATAAATATTTAATTTGTGTAATTAAAAGAAAATACAATCTTTCCAAAAATAATTGAAAGATATAATCTTTAGTTTGTTATTGTATAAGTAGAAGATGTTGACTTGTCAAAAAAAAGTAGAAGATGTTGACACATAAGTTTATTATAGTAAATTCATATTTTTAAGCGAAGATCAAAATAAATTAGTGTTATTTTTTATACTACAATATATAGATAGATGTTTAGTTATTGTTTTCATATTGGTTAGGCCAACTCAAAATACTCAA